GGCTCAGTCGTAAAAAAAAAAAAAAAAAAGAGATTGTCTTAATTAGTCTGGCTTAATAACCCTCCTTACTATGTGGCAGGACAGAACCTCCTACCTTGTTTTCCTTCACCAATATTTTGAGCTATTTTTGGCTCTTTGCACTTCCATATAATTTTACATAAAAAATTAAAATTAATTTAACAAATTGTATAAAAAATTCTGTTGTGATTTCATTGGAATTGTATCGAGTTTATAAATTAATTAAAAAATTGAGTTCTTCATGTTGTGGATTTATTCCTATCTTCCATTATACCATTCAATAATAATTATTTTCTCTAAAAATGCTATGCAAATATTTTTTACATTTATTTATTAAGTACCTTATGGTTTTGTGGCTATTGAAAAACCCATTTTTTTCTATTACATTTTTCCTAACTTTATTGAGATATAATTGACATATAATTCTATTACACTCTAATTGAATTATTGGCCATTATAGAAATACTTTTGTATGTTGGTCTTTTATACATAAATATTAGTTCTAATAGTTGTTTCTAGATTCATTGGATTTCCTATGCATGATCTTTCAAGTAAGGACAATCTTAGTCTTCCTTTCCAATTATCTCATTTTTTATTATTGGATTTATCCAATAAAATATTGAATAGAAGTGATGATAGCAGGCTTCCTTGTTTTATTCTTCATTTTAATGGGAAATAAATGCTTCTAAATTTTTCCACAGATACCATTAGCAGAAAATCCTTCATATTCCTAAAAGGATGTGTATGGGTGACTAAAATATATACAGAGAGAGCAGCATATATAAAACAGTAGTTAAAGAAGAATATGATATATATAAAACATACTAAATAAGAAGGAAAATAATTTCAATGTACTCAGCACCCAGGTTAAGGAGAGAATGGTGCTAATAGATCAGTCAGTAGTCCTCACTAGGCCTTCTTCAATCATATACTCCTCCCTTACTCCCACAGGTAACCAGGATCCTGAATTTTCTTTGAAGATAAACCAACATGCTTATCTATAAACAATATATTGTTTATTTTTTTTAACTGAGCATTAAGCACAAACATAGTTGTAAAGGAAAGAACATTAATTGCCCATGTTAGAAGAAGGTTCTCAGAAAAAAAAGAAGCTAAACCAAGTGCTTCTAGTCTGGCCTCAGCTTTCCTCCAAATTTACAAAAGCCCTTTGTGGGGAAGCCATGGGGAATCATAGGTAAGTCCTATCATTTATGATCTGGAAAATACAGGTCTCATCATAAGCAGAGCATCTGGCAGGGCTGTGTTATGAGCTATGTAATGGAGTCCAGCAGGAATAAGGCCAGGGCAGTGGCTAATCTTTTTTGTTACTTTTTTTAAAAATTTTTAAAGATTTATTTATTTATTTGAGATGGAGAGAGGTGAGGGGCAGAGGGAGAAGGAGAAAATCCTCAAGCAGGATCCCCACTGAGCGTGGAGCCCATTGCAGGGCTGAATCCCAGGATCCCGAGATCATGACCTGAGCTGAAGTCAAGAGCTGGATGATTAACCGACTGAGCCACCCAGGCACCCCTAATTTTTTTTCCCTTTAAATCACAGTTCCTTCCCTCTAGTTTCCAGTAGCAGGTCAAAGCAGAACAATTCCAAAGAAAGAAATGAGTTTCCTCAGCTGAACTAGGTCAATGAGAGCAGACTGGCAACTTCAGCAGCATGTGTGAAAAGCAGCAAGCACAGCCAAGAATATGGACCAGACTTCCCCAGGCATTCAGTCTTCAAGTTAAAAGACAGTACAATGTCATCAGGCATCTTGGTGAAGGCAGCCAAAACTATATCTCTTGAGTCAACTGGTTGCCCTCTCTACTTAGAATACAATTATTGTGGTGTAATCATCTTTTATCATTCATCTGGGAATTCCCTTCACCTCTCTGCTATATTTCATTCCTGTTTCCAATATCAGATGTCTCCTTTTTGCTTGTCTCCTTGCTTTATTTTCTCATTTTGGAAGAGTACAACCTTTAATAACTTTGTGGGAAAGGGTGCATTGAGGGTAAATTTTTTAAGACATTGCATGTCTGCAAATGTCTTTATTATACTTAGTTGATAATTTGAAAGAAAATAGAATTCTTACTTGCAAGGTTGTTGATAAGTCCAAAGATTCTTGCACCTAATAGTTTTTAGATTAGCCTGCTATAATAATAGAAAGACATATGGAATGCACTACGGAGGAAATAAAGAATAATGGCAAACACTGGACTAAAAGTCAGACAATTGGATTTTAGTCCTATCACTAGGTTTGTGACTTTGGACAAATTATTTAACACCTCTGAAAAAAAAAAAAAGGATAGAACTAATATTTCTTTTGCCAGCTATTTTATGTGTATACATAGACCCATTCATATGCTTTTCCCCCAGACCTCCTTGCCTCTGATTTTCCAATGTTGCTCCTTCTAAGTCCTGAACAACCAGTCCAGCCACTCATCACTATCCGAGAGTCCATGCATATCTTTGCTTCAGATCATTCCCCTCTCCTTCAAAAGAATATACTGCTTGAAGCTCCGCGCGCTGGGGGAAATTCCCCTTCTTGCTGTTCTTAAAGGCCTTATAGTCTATAGTGCAGTAGTCCATTTTCAGCTCACACCAATATATCAAACCAATTCAACAAAGACTGGGCCTGAGATTTTTCATCCTCCATTGCTGGTTGTAGGGAATACCCCATGAGACCATAGATATAATCAGAGAGAGCAGGGTTGGTGCAACAATAGAAAGGGTATATGGAGCCTGGGCCACCTGTTCATGTAACTTACATGGTATCTTATTGTTTTTAATTTGCATTTTCCTGGTTACCAATGGAGATGACATAGTTTTAGAAAAAGTGTTTGACTTTTGTTTTAGATTCCATGTATAAATGAGATTACGTGATATTTGTCTGTGTCTGGCTTATTTCATTTAGCATAACACCCTTCAGGTTCATCCTTGTTGTCACCAGTGGCAGGATTTCATTCTTTTAAGGTTGAATAATATTCCATTGTAAAAAAAGTCAAACCCATAGTAACACGGAGTAGCACAGTGGTTACCACAGGCTGAGGGGTGATGGAAAGGGGAGATACTGATCAAGGGGTACAAACTTTCAGTTATAAGATGAATAAGTTCCAGAGATTTAATGTACAGCATGGTGACTACAGATAATACTAATGTATTGTATACTTGAAATTTGTTAAGAGAATAGATTTCAAATCTTTTTACCACATGCATACACAAAAAAATGGTAACTGTGGGAGGTGATGGACATGTTAATCACTTTGGTTGTGGTAATCATTTCACAATATATACATGTATCAAAATATCACATTTACATCTTAAATATATGCAATTTTTACTTATCAATAGTTTGGCTTTCTACACAAAAGTGTCCAAAAATATCTATGAAACCTTGGGTCAGTGCCATATCACACTCATAATTTCTTAAGGGAATAGCTCATATATACTGTATGTACAAGGAACACATGACCCAGAACTTTTAAACATCACGTTCTAACAAACTACGTTCATTGGACCAAATACAATGCTGAAAGTAGAATTAGTACTAAGACTTGTTATAATTTTTCTTTGAATCTAAGATTATGATAGTAGAACAGTGATAAAAACTCTTGTTCACCTATGTCCAAACTCTGGATGGAAATGTCTGTATGTTATATTTATGGTGGAGGATGGAAAACACTCATTTTTTTTTTTATTTTTAATGCAAAATTTAACAAATAAACATGTAGAAATGACTTTAATCAGCCATAAAAAAGAATGGAACCTTGCCATTTGCAACAACATGGCTGGAGTATAATGTTAGGGAGTATAATGCTAAATGAAATAAGCCAGTCAGAGAAAGACAAATACAATATGATTTCACTCATGTGTGGAATTTAAGAAACAAAACAAATGAACAAAGAAAAAAAAAAAGAGACAAACCAAAAAGCAGACTCTCAACTCTACAGAACAAACAGATGGTGACCAGAGGGGAGGTGGGGGGGTTGCTGGGGAAATAGGTGATGAGGACCAAGAGTACACTTATCTTGATGAGCACTGAGTAATATATGGAAGTGTTGAATCACTATCTTGTACACCTGAAGCTAATATAATACCGTATGTTAACTACACTGGAATTAAAATTTTAAATATCTATATGCTGTCATACCCAGGAAGAATCATAAAGACCATCGACTAGTTGTTACAATTATAAGATTCTATTCATCTGGGGTTTGTTTTAATGTTCTTACTCTCTTCCTTCTTGGCCGGTTTTGCTGCGTTTACAGGGGTCACATCAGTCGCAGTACGGCTGGGACTGGTGACGGCAGGCTTGATGTGACGGGTCTGCTGTTGCCCCCAGTGAGCCACTCCTCTGCTGACCTCCAGGGTGAGCTGGATCATCCGGTTGATGGCTTGTTGAATGTCATCCAAACTAGGAATCATTACCTGTGGAGAGAAGAATGGGGCTCCCGGTACTGGCACCACATACCATCCATCCCTCTGTTTCTCACCAGTCCATCCCCCACTGGGCAGGACAGCCTCAGCTGGCCCAGTGGAAGGCTGCTCTGGGAGAGGCCTGTTAGAGGAGGGTAGGCTGTGGATTTTCTCTACCCTGAGGTTTGCCCATTCTATCATTTCCTGCAGGCTAAACAAATCAAGCACAGTACTTGTCCTCCTTTTCCTATGAGGGTGGCTGGATACAGCCAGAAATTGTGGACTCTGTGTTGGAGCCCAGGAAGCAAAATGACTAAAGAAGCTATACCGCCAAGGTTCTGACCTCAGTTCTTTGAAATGTGTGCCAAATAAGCACAGAAGCTCTCCTCCAGGAGGCCAAACCGTGTCGGTGTCGATGGTGGTAGATGAGTCACTGATTATTCCTGCCTGGCCTTATCCCATGGCCCATCACAGAAGTCACCTCAGTCATCCTGTGTGACTTGGAGTTTCAAATGCCAAGGGGCAGCTGGGATGGTGGTAGAAATAAGGGGCAGGAGAGGGCATAAGGGTCCCTGTGCTCGGGGCATAGGCCCTTTCTTTCTTTCTCTTCTTGCCATTCTTGGTTACCTCACAGTTGTGTGTTGGGGATAGGGATCTGGACTTCTGAGATGGACTATTTAGATAATTTAATGCTTGAAGAAAGAAAAAGCAAGAATATTTTTAGAGTACTTGCTGACTGATGGCTGAACAGATGCTTAACTCACCTCTTACGTCAACCTTCAACACACCATGAACTATGTAGAGTAATTTTTTACAATAGATAAAAATAATGTTCTGATTTTTGTTAAATACTAGTGAAGCTAAAAATTACATAGAACCAAGTGTTTATTCTAAATGAAAGTTCAATTGTAGTGCTGTACTTCTTTAAAAATTATCAAAATATCATTGTATTAAGTTGAATATTTAATTATACTTACCACATTTGGAATTGCAAGATGTACTTCAGTTTTTATAAAGGAAACAACATCTTCTGATCGCCTTCGTCCATGGTGGCTGGAATAAGATTCACATTTAACTTATAAAACTTAACCTAAAATTTCATAAAAGCTTGATTCTGCTACCATTTTCAATCCTAAAAATAAAGACCACTTTCAAAATACCAAATTACATGGGGAATGTTATTTATAATGAAACCATACATTTCAGAGAACTAAGAAAACATAATGCTTTAATATTATTAGAAGTGAAATATTAGTCTCCTGTACATTTTCTAGTATTTTAATGCGGCTCTCTCTCATTAATAACCACTTAACAATGTTTACTAAAAGTACATCCTGGGAGTACCTGGGTGGCTCAGTTGGTTAAACGTCTGACTTCAGCTCTGGTCATGATCCCAGGGTCCTAAAATCGAGCCCCACATCAGGCTCCCTGCTCAGCCTGGAATCAGCTGGTCCCTCTCCCTCTGTTCCTCCGCTCCCACTGCTCTCCCCCACTCCGCTCGTGCTCTCTCTTGCTCTCTCTCCAAAATAAATAAATAAAATCTTTAAAAAAAATAAAATGCATCCTGTTCCAGCCCTGTAACAGATATCAGACAAGATCACCAACAAAAAAGCATTTACCTTCATATACTTTTTTATATACAATCTTTTGCAAGATTACACAGGAGATTTCTGGTCAAAGCCCTCCAAAAACTGTTTTTTGTTGTTGTTGTTGTTGTTGTTTCTGTTTTTGTTTTAGAGAGAGAAGGGCAAGGAAGAGGCAGAAGAAGAGAGAGAATCTTAAGCAGGCTCCACATCCATCACGGAGCCTGACACGGGGCTCGATCTCACCACCCTGAGATCATGACCTGAGCTGAAATCAAGAGTCCAATGCTTAGCCAACTGAGCCACCCAGGCACCCCTAAAAATTACTTTTTTAAACATATTCATGCTCAGACAGAAGTACATACCTACAGACACACGAGTACAAGTAATGAAGAACACACATCAGAGCTGCAAATTAGTTTGGTTATCTCCCTCTGCCTTGACCTCTGTCCCCATCCCAGACAAAATTATAATAAATGTTTTATTGCTTTCCATAGCAAGAAATGCTGTCAGCTTGAATCACAATTCCCTTCTCTGACACTCTATGAATATTGTTTTGTTGGCATCTTTTGTTTCCACTTTCAGACGAGGGTTCTGTTGTTAATCTATTTTTTTAAGTAACACTCTGTTGTTTGGATGCTTACAGGGTTTTCCCTTTTATTCTGGAAATTCACAAATTATGTTTAGGTGTAGGTGATTTTTCACTTGAATCCTGTCAGGTACACTGAGAATCTTTTGAAGATGATACAACAGATCTCTTTTTAAGATTAAAGAAGGGCTGTTCAATTGACCATATGTAGGTTTTACGTGCTGGATTGAGGCAGGAAACCGTCTCTGAGTTGAGTGACCCTCTGTAAGTTACTCAACCTCTCCCTGCCTTGGCTTCTTCATTTGCAAAATGCAAAAAATAATCACAGGATCTGCCTCAGATAGTTAATGTGAGCATGAAATGTGTTAATTCATGGAAAGTGCTTGGAAAAGTACCTGGCATACATTAAGCACTCAATAAATGTTACTTTTCTTTATCTTTTTTCTTACCTTGTCTTTAAGTAGTATCTATCTCTTTGTATTTTGCACCTGAAATTTTGGAGAATTCTTTAAGCTCTAGTTTGTCAAATAAGTCACTGAATGATCTAGTGTACTGTTCACTGCCTCTGTCGCCTCAGCTGTTTGTTTATGCTTTATAAAACTCTTTCTTGTTCTGGGATTCTGCCCTTTTAAATACAGTTTACACTTGTCTTATTGTTGCATCTTGGATTTCACAATGAGACTATGAATTAGAGGTTTTTTTCCCTTTATGTGCTTGCTTTTGGTTCAAAGAATTACTTGCAATAATATGTTTATCTGGGAACCAAGGGTCCTGCGTCCTAAAGTTGAATCTTCACGTTGAACTGCAGAGGCTTTTGTTTCTTATGACTCCCCCTGCCCCCATCTGCTTGCATATAAATGGAGGTGTAGTTTTTCAGTCATTTTCCAGCACTTGAAACCTACACACACATGCACACACATGTCTCACTCAAAGAGGTCTTTTATTTATTTTTTTTAAATTTTATTATGTTATGTTAGTCACCATACCAAAGAGGTCTTTTAAACTAGAATCCCAATAGCCATGAATAAGTCTTACAGTAAGAAAGAGGACAAAAGGAATTAATAATTGAAACAAAAACCCACTCCAGATAAAATCAATGTATAGACATATAACAAACTCTAAAATAAGTATATTGAGAATATTCAAAGAGATCAATGAAGGCTATCTTCTCCCAAAATAATAAATTGCTAAATTAAAAAAGCAGAAATGATATAGTATCTGGAGAATAAGGAAAAAAGTATTAACTGAAATATTTAAGATACAATAGATGAGATCATCTTTAGACTAGAAAGAGAAATACTTGCTCATAATGTAGCCCAGAAAGGCAAAAAGACAAAACATATGACAAAGTAGTTAGAAGACAGGGAGGACAGACCAAAAGCCCCAAGATTTGAGATAAGTGCATGTCCATTGTGCCCAGGTCAGTTCCAGGTTAAATCTGGATAGTGTCATTTCACTCAAAAGACTGTCCTGGTTGGAACAATAAATCATGTGGTTAATCTTTTCAACATCCAACTACGAGGAGTTCCATCAGAAGAGAATGAAAGGATGTGTTGAGTGAAATAAGTCAAACTGAGAAAGACATGTATCATATGAAACTGAGAAAGACATGTATCAATTCTTAATTGCAGGAAACAAACTGAGGGTTGCTGGAGTGGGGGGTGGGGTGGAAGGGATGGGGTGACTGGGTGATAGACACTGGGGAGGGTATGTGCTCTGGTAAGCGCTGTGAATTGTGCAAGACTGTTGAATCTCAGATCTGTACCTCTGAAACAAATAATGCAATATATGTTAAGAAAAAAAAAAAGAAGAAGAAGAAGGTAGCGGGAGGGGAAGAAAAAGCGGGGGAAATCGGAGGGGTAGACGAACCATGAGAGACGATGGACTCTGAAAAACAAACTGAGGGTTCTAGAGGGGAGGGGGGTGGGAGGATGGGTTAGCCTGGTGGTGGGTATTGAGGAGGGCACATTCTGCATGGAGCACTGGGTGTTATGCACAAACAATGAATCATGGAACACTTCATCTAAAACTAATGATGTAATGTATGGGGATTAACAGAAGAATAAAAAAAAATTAAAATTAAAATTAAAAAAAAAAAAAAAGAAGAAGAAGAGAATGAAAGGAATGTCCCAGAAGCAACAGCTGAAGAGGAAATTGCTGAGGATTTTCCAGGATTAAGGAATGTCATGCCCTCGCCCTTGAATAGCAAGTACACACTGAGAATAAAGCAGGATTAACTAAAGACAAATTCACATAGGGAAAGAAAACTATAGAACATCAAGGATAAAAAATAATCTTCAGTTAGACTTACTGCAGACTTCTTATCGCAAAAATATAAGTCAGAAAAAAAATGAAATGCTTTCAAAATGCCGAGAGACAAAAATTTTTTATCCAGCCAAACTGTCATGAGAGTATGAAAGCAAAAAAGACATTTTTCAGACTTAAAATGAAGAATAAGAGAGTTTACCCCTCATGTACCCTGACTAAGGAACCAATGGAATACAAGAAATACACAAGAATCTGGAGATTTTAATAAAATATGCCAATATTCATGTTCAAAAAAAGGTAAAACAAAAACATCAAGAAGTAATAATGAGGTAGATACAGTTTAGTGAGTACGCCAAGGCCCTTGTAGTTAGATATAAGACTAGAAAACTGAAAAACCATAGACAGTATTTTTTTTTAAAACTGGAGCAAGATACACATAGACTCAATTTAAGGGTAACTACTTAAATAACCAAAGTATAGGAAGGAAAATATTATCCATCCCAAAGATAACAGAGGTAACAAAATGAACCAAAGAAAACAGATACTAAGAAGCAGACACAAAATGAAATGTCATAAATTAAGTATAACTACATGAAAAAATCACAATAAATATAAACAAATTATACTCTATTAAAAAGCAGAGATATTCAGATTGAATAAAAATAAGCAGGTATATGATGCTTTTAAGAAATATAACAAGAGGGCGCCTGGGTGGCTCAGTTGGTTAAGCAACTGCCTTTGGCTCAGGTCATGATCCTGGAGTCCCGGGATCGAGTCCCGCATCGGGCTCCCTGC